GTGACTCCTCAATGCTCCCACAGAAGCGATCTCAATCCCACCAGCTTGGCAAAGTAGCCGCGATGTCATTACATCCATTTCAATGCTGTCGAACTCTCACACCTTTGCTGGCAGCATTTGCTCACAAGATTTTCATACTACAGATCTCTCGATTTAAACAGTTCCAAATCCAATTATACTAACTAGTTGCCGACATTGCAGCACCCCTTTCATCTCACTTTGGTAGTCCGTGTGTCGACTGATACGGGCTTCCAAGCCATCAAGACAAAGAACATCTACAAGCATGTACCACAACCTCGTTCTTCACCCATGTGTTCCCGCAGCAAGATCAGTACTGCATCTTAGCAAGCGACAATTTGTTGGCCCTTACGAGGACCAGTATCACGTCTATGGTGAAGAACATAGTCAGTCTACTCACTGATGCCCATGGACTTCTCCATCATCATGGCCAACAGCGCCACTCTAAACGGTACCCACGATAAGGGGTGACGTCCCCATTCTCACTGCCAACTGGTTCAGCTCATTGTCTTCGCAAACGATTAAACGCTGGTGACGAGGGTAGGTGCACCCTCACTCATCGTCGACATCTACGCCCCCCTCCACATCCACCAACTCAGCAACCAGGTGCTAGAGCACATTAGCCAGGCTGACTGGTGCTTTATCACTTAAGCACTGCGCGCAGTTGCCACGAAGCAGCATATGGTGCACTGGATTCACATAGAACCTAAAACCTGCCAGCTCCGCCCTTGTATTTGCTTTCACACTAGAGAACTGCGTTCTACCATCCAAGTGGATCTCTCCGTCACAGCGGCAAAATTGTGAGCAGATTGAAGTGAACACTTCAATCCATGAGCCACCTCTATTTATGCACACCTCGTTGCCTGTGTACCATTGGTTCGCCTCCTGCTTCTGACCAGGTATGCAATTATGTCGTACAATCGACCTCTTCTCCTCAAATCGATTCGCGTACCTCCCCATTACACACCGCGTGGTTTCGCCAATGGGGTCTAGGAAATGGATGGAAATGTTGGGAACACGGAATGTGCTGCAAGAGAGACGATTGGCCAGTTGGAAAGATGAGTAGGTAGCAGTGGTCAAAAGTGGAGATGGAGGTGGAGGCACAGGAGGGTGAGAAGGTGGAGGAGGGGCAGGGGGAGTGGAAGAAGGAGGAGGTGCGAACCAAAGCTATGTGTGAGGCAGAGGGCGATGGAAGCGGCTGAAACGGATGCGGCGACAGAGAACAGAGGACTTGAAGAGGAGGTGGAGGAGGCGAGATGCATCCGGGGGACAAAAGTGAGATCATCCATGCCGAATGGAAAACATTGGTGCCATGAAAGTAATTAGTGAGAATAACCCACCCATTCCTCCACTTTTCACCACCACGTGCAGACATCCAAGACAAAATCAACATAATTAGCATCACAGCACAACGGCACAAGCGACGGAGTTGATCCACCATTGAATTGAAGTAGTGCTCACATTCCCCGACCGCCAGATTGTAAATGGCATTGTTATGGTTGCTGCTGCTCCTGTTGCGACGCAGCTGTGGACGTGGTGGCAGAGGAAAATGCAATTTCCGCCCTCTCTCATCCTCCCTTTCTGTGTCAATTCCACTCGTTGTTTTAGTTAATCGCGGATTTTTTCAAGTTCCTGCTTGTTTGTGCGTAGGGAGGAGGTTCTGGTTAGTCGGACCTTTGTCAATGGTCATTGGCGAAAGACCATCCCCTTCATCGGACATGGAGGATGGATGTGTGAGCGTGGGCAGTCCATGTGTTTGTTAGTGGATAGGTGCAAGTGCGCCTCTCCCAACTCCATTCCCTTCACCTTTCTGCCTGCTTGCCCTTTTCGCCGCATTGCCTATCTTTCTACCGTTTTCACTTCACACATTGACCACTACAGACATGATTCTTGACGAAATGACGACAACGAGAATGACGCATGAATGAAATCCCATCATCATTGTGGAAGGTCTCTGGTCACTTATTACTTCCCTTGTCTCACCCAGCTTACTCTCTCCCTGATCGCCACTCCCTGTCTCCCATATCATTCGCATCCTTCTGTACCGCATTTTGACAGGCTCTCATTACCAACACCATTCCTTCCCACCCTTCTTTTGTCCTTTTCAACCACAAGCCTCGATTGGCATTGTTAGCCTCTTGTTGGCATCATTCGTAGTAATGTTAGCGTGTTGCCGAGCCTCAGCATCTGTGGCAGTACCACGACCGTATAAGGCGACATTGGGTGGGTGTGGGTGAGTGCTACATATCAACTAATGGAGGGCAAGGAGGAGGAGGAGGTGGCACTTTTCTTGTACGTCCTACATCGCACCCATTCAACCCAATAATTATTGCATTGTTAATTTGTAAGCTAGTCAGTTGAAACTTTGGAATGGGCACTATGCCTGCAGTCGCCTACAAGGAGCCTTTCGAGCAGTCACGCTGGATAATTCTCATGTGTAATGAGTAAGGGTGCAGCCTTGTGACGAGTTTTGGGCGGAGGAGAACAGTATGTAGTATGCAATGGAATAAAGGATCGATGGTGTCCAATTTCTCTCAGCTGCCTGTGGATGATCTCTATGCCTCACCGAAGTGATAGAAACACGGAGGAGGATACAGATGTACGAACAACGGCTGGCGAAGAGGGATGTGAACTGGTTTGTTGTGACTTGGGAAGGAAGTAGGGAAATTAAAAAGGAAGGAAATGAAATGGAGA